TTTTTATGTGAATTATTCTCTCTCTCTCTCTCTCTCTCTCTCTCTCTCGCTCTCGCTCTTGCTCTCGCTCTCGCTCTCTGTCTCTCTCTCTGCAGTACAGGGTTTCAAACATGCACAGCAAATGCTCTACCACTGAATTATATCCCTGGTCAGTATTTTTTTTTTTGAGGAGGGTAGGCACACCCAACAATGCTCAGGGGTTACTTCTGACTCTGTACTCAAGAATTATTCCTGAGGGTTGGAGCGATAGCACAGAGGTTATGGCATTTGCCTTGCACGCGGTCAACCCGGGTTTGATTCCCAGCATTCCATATGGTCCCCCGAGCACCACCAGGAGTAATTCCTGAGCGCAGAGCCAGGAGTAACCCTTGTGCATCACCGGGTGTGACCCAAAAAAGCAAAAAAACAAAACAAGAATTATTCCTGGCAATGCTCAGAGGACTACCTGGGGACCCTGGGGATCGAATCTGGCTTGGCTGCATGCAAGGTAAATGCCTTACCTGCTGTACTACCTCTCCAGACCCTCGTTATCACCTGTGTAAGAATGATTTTGTAACATGTTTCAAGAAGTACAGGGGCTGAAAAAATCTAATGAAAGGTTAGGTAATTTTCTTGTACACACCTGACCTGGGTTCCATCTCCAGCACCCACTTTGGTCTTCTGAGCCTGCCAAGAATGATCCCTGAATGCAGAGCTAGGAGTAAGCCTTGAGCATGGCCGGGTATCACCCCAAACAAAAAACAAAACAAAACAAAAAACCCATATATTAGTACTTCATTTATTTCCATTTTTATTCATTTTTAAATTTTGGTTTGGGGGGCCACACCTGACTGTACTCAGGATTTATTCTTGGATGCGTGGTCAGGGATTATTCCTGGTGGGCTCTGGGGACCACATTGGGTGCTGGGGACCAAATTTGGTTGACTGCCAGAAAGGCAAGAGCCTTAACCACTGCACTATAGCTGTGCTATAGCTCCAGCTCCTCATATAATATACATATAATATATATGATTTTCAACCCTCCTCCCTCAAAAAGAGAATTGGGGTATATGATTTTCAATCTTCCTCAAAAAAAGAATTGGGGGACTGGAGCAATAGCACAGCGGGTAGGGTGTTTGCCTTGCACACGGCCAACCAGGGTTCGATTCCCAGCATCCCATATGGCCCCCTGAGCACTGCCATGGGTAATTCCTGAATGCAGAGCCAGGAGTAACCCATGTGCATCCCCGGGTGTGACACAAAAAGCAAAAAAGAAAAAAAAAGAAAAGAATTGGGGCAGGGGATGTGAATTAATGGTCAAGAAAGTGAGAGGCCATGGGTTTGATCCCCTGGCATTGTGGGGGGTGGGGAAGGGGGAGGAGGGAGGGGGAGAGAGAGAGAGAGAGAGAGAGAGAGAGAGAGAGAGAGAGAGAGAGAGAGAGAGAGAGAGAGAAGAAAGCACACTCCCATTTTAAAGAGTCTGAGGCACGGTGGATGAAGTAATCTCATCCAAGTAGGGTTCCAGGCCACATATCCATTTCACCCCAGCAGGCATTTCCGAGTGCAAATTACTAAGACAAAGTCCACATGGAACGCCAACTCCTTGGGCAAGATTTTGGCGCTGTCTAGAGGGATGCACCGAGTGATTGAATGGCGAGTGCTTCCCCCCTGGAGACCGAATTCCCCCTCGTGAGCGGCTCTTTCCAGGCAGGCTGCCAGCGTGCCAGGCACACAGCTCCTGTCGCTTCCCTGCCTGATACCCTCTCATTACTTTTAATTGCATCTGAGTTGCTCTAGCATCGTGTCTTTGGATTTCTAATCTGGGGCACTTCTCTGCCTTCCGCTGGTCCTTCACGGCCAACCCGAGAAGTGTCCCCAGAAAAGGGAATCGTGCAAGTCTATAATGAGTAGTCTAATATCCAAGTCCCGGCATATTCACAGAGCAATCTTCATCCCGGTGTAGCATCACAAAAGAAAGATTCTTAAAAGAAGGCACAGCCCCAATTCCTATATTCCTACCAATACTTCGGGAATTACTCTGACAAGAAGACAAAAATGATCTTCAGGGATGCTGGGTCAGACACCATAGCTACACCAGCCCCATTAATGTTTAAAGTCAATGGAGCATAAAACTGCTTTTCTCTCCTTACAGGCAGGCATCATCTTACGAGTGGTGGTGGGGGTTGCCGTTTAATTCTACTGAAATCCATAAACCCTCCCCTGATTTTCATTCCCCTTGAAATTCTCCAGTAAGGATCATCAGAATGAAAATGAGACTTGCTTTCTGGCTCTCTGGCTCTCCCTGGGGCCGGGGAAGGGCCGGGCTGTCCATCTCATCAGGAAAGGGTGCAAACAGCTTTCCCGGGATGGAGGAGGAGCTGGAGGAAGCCTACCAGTCCAAAGGATCCTTGTCATGCAAACCTGCAGAACTAGTTGTGAGGACACACCTGGGGACTTGGTGAGTCTCTGGGCTGACTTCAGGAAGGTTTAAACAGTTCCAGATCAGGGTAGATTCCAGACGGGATTCTAGGGACCCAGCTCAGTCCAGGAAGTAGTGCCCCAGGGTGTGCTTTACTCAGTGGGCTGCAAGGGGACCTTTATCATTAATATATTAGCTGTTACCCTGGGAGAATCGCTGGAACCCAGCCAGACTCTGTTAGTAAACCACTGGACCTAATCCCACATTACATTTGTGTAATGACTGACAAAGCCTGTTCCCATTATCTCATTTGATCCTGAAAACAATCCTCAGAGGGAGGCTGGGCAGGGATTATTTTTTCCATTTTACAAGTGAAAACACTTGTAAACTGATTTGCCAGAAGCCACACATCCAGGACTGGCAGGAAGGAGCCGTGAATCTGGGTCTGTGTATACCGGGTAAGGGTTCTTTTGACTCTATACAACAGATGGATCAAAATATTCCTGCCCCACCCCGATCTCACCACCAGCAACCTGGAACTGCCCAGAACAGACCTGGTGTTTATACTGCCCACACACCTCTGTTCTAATGAAGAAATACAGTCCCTGACCGCAAGCTGCTCTTTGGAAAAAAAAAAATAAAAAAAGGAAAAATTATTTCATAGCATCTTTCTGGACTAAAGACCAGAATTAGTCCCAGATGGATTTGGGGGAGGGGATGAAGCAAGGCATTAGAAAAATATATGGCAAGTATAACTGAATAATAACTTTGTGGAGGTAAGAAGCCTCTAGATTTATCATAGTGTTGAATTCTCCAAGGAAGGAATTTTGATTAGACTTGATTAAAATTTGTTGAGTAGAGAAAAAGAATGGTCAGGGTTAATTAAAAAATAAAACTAACTAAAAAATAGTTGTAGCAAAATATGAAAGAAAAGGGTTAACTTCTAGTATGTAGAGAAGTCATGCAAATACATAAGAAAAACTCAAAAGGAAAAGCTTATTAGGGAACAGACCATTGGCAAGAAAGAAGTACAGTGGTTAATAAGCATTTAGAAAATGAAGCCCCCTAACTAAAATCAGATGAAAACTAAGTAGATATCAATTTCACCTATGAAATCAACAACAACAAAAATTTAACTGTAATACTCATTCTAGTGAAGATACAGTAAATAGAGGTTCACAAATTCATGCTCGGGCACTAAATCTGCTCAACTCTTGGAAAGCGACTTGGTACATTTATCAGAAACCTTAAAAAACTCATTTTCTTTGACCTAAAAATTCCACTCCTCGGAGTCTGTTCTTAGGAAACAATCATCAACATGTAAAAAGTCTCACCCACAAAAACGTTAGTCACTTACTTATGCACAACTGTGAAATTAGGTAAACAGCAAAGTAAAGGAATCCTTTAATCATTGACGGTACGGTCCCTGTGAGTGGAAACCAATGTCATCATTATCGGTCTTCAGAGCGGCGGCAGTCACACAAACACTGTTCCTGGTGTCATGCAAACTGGAAATGTGTCTGACATGCTAAATGTGCCTGTTGGGGCCGGGGAGGAGAACAAAACACGTTGTTAACGTGGACGCAATCCTGGGAGTTAGAAGCGATGTTCCCCATCGCTCTTTATTTCGAGTTGAATCGCTGCTGATTTTTAAATGAACACAGTCGACCGTTTAGCCGTGTGGCGGCGCGTCGTCCTCTAGAAATGTGCTGATGGGGGTGGGGTGGGGGTGTCGGGGCGCTGGGGGACTGGCTGAGACCCCCTGCCTCTGTGTGTGTGTGTGTGTGTGTGTGTGTGTGTGTTGGCTCTGGGGACTGGCTGAGACCCCCTGCCTCTGTGTGTGTGTGTGTGTGTGTGTGTGTGTGTGTGTGTGTGTGTTGGCTACTGGCTCAGCACTAAGGGGTCACTCCTGGCAGGGCTCAGGGAACCTTACGTGGCGCCGGGGATCGAACCCAGGTCACCTGCGTGCCCACCCGCCGGTCAGTCGTCCCGGCCCCCCACTGGGCCCCCTGGACCAGAAGCCCTCGGTGCCCCCAATTCCCACCTCCGGGCCCCGCCCCACCGCTCGGCGGCCGGCCGGCCCCTCCCCCACCGCGCCGCTGTCCAGGCCTGCGGGGCTCGGGGCGGGCCGGGCCGGGCGTTGCGGACACGTGGGAGGGGGCCGCGTCCGAGGGGCGGGGCCGCGCGGGTGGGTGTGCGCGCGAGTGGACGGCACCAAGCACGGCCGCTCACGGGGTTGTCGCGCCCGCGGTGGCCCCTGGGTCCCTGGAAGCCCGGCGCTGCGCAGGCTCCCGAGAGCCCCTCGGGAACTCACCGCGAGCTGCAGCAGCGCCCGCGGTGTCCAGCCGCGGCCCGGGGCCACGCCTGGACGCGCCTCGTGCCGGCGTCTGCGAGCGCGTCTCCCCCGCCGGCCGCGGCGCGGTGGTGGAGCCCGCGGCGACGTCACCCATTGTTTACAAATCAACCCGAGCCGGTCGGATTCGGGCTCCCGCGGCTGCAGGCGCGCGGCGCGAGTGTCTGGCGGGCTCCGGCTTCCGCGTCCGCCCCGGCCCCGGCCCCGGCCCCGGCCCCCGCCCCGGCCCCGGCCTCCGCGCCACGCCCGGCGCCGCCGCCGCCGCCCGCCGCCGAGCCCCGCGGGCAGCCCGGCCGCCTGCGCCGCCCGCCGAGCTGCGGGTGCCCGGGCGGGGGACCATGCCGTGCCGGAGGGAGGAAGACGAGGACGCCGGCGACGAGGCGGAGGGGGAGGAGGAGGACGACGACAGCTTCCTCCTGCTGGAGCAGTCGGTGACGCTGGGCGGCTCGGGCGACGTGGACCGGCTGGTGGCCCGGATCGGCGAGACGCTGCAGCTGGACGCGGCGCACGACGGCCCGGCGTCCCCCCGCGCGCCCCCGGGGCCTCCGCTGCAGCCCCCGCGGCCCCCGGCGGCGGCGGCGGCGGCGGCGGCGGTGCGGGTGGACAAGGCCCGGCCGGCGGCGCTGCCGTTGCTGCTGCCGCCGCCCGCGCCGGCCGAGGCGGGGGGCCCGGCGGCCGCGGGGGCCTTGCGCTGCGCCCTCGGGGATCGCGGCCGCGTGCGTGGCCGGGCTGCGCCCTACTTTGTGGCCGAGCTGCCCGCGGGCCCCGGCGCGCTGCCCGGCCCGTGCCGGCGCGGGTGGCTGCGGAGCGCCGTCTCGGCTCGCCGCCTGCAGCCGCGTCGCTGGCCCCCGGCGGGGGCGCGCACCCGCGAGGACGACCCGCACCGGCTCCTGCAGCAGCTCGTGCTCTCGGGGAACCTCATCAAGGAGGCCGTGCGGAGACTCCAACGAGCCGTGGCCGCCGTGGCCGCCACGGGCCCCGCGGGAGCCCCCGCGCCCGGGAGCGGCCGCGCCGGCCCGGATCCCGTGGCCCTGCAGCCCTCCGGCGCCTTGCACTGACCCCGGGCTCCTGGAGGAGGACGAGGAGGAGGCAGAGGCGGCCGCAGCGCGGAGTCCACGGCGTCCTGCCCATCGCCGGCCCGGAGCGTCATGACCTGCGACCCTGGCGCCCACCTCCGGCCGAGGCGCCCCTGGCCCCCGCCCGGCGGACGGAGGAAACTTGAGCTCGGAGAAATGCACGGACCCGGGTGCGTCGGTGCCGCGTGCGTGAGAATTCCCCCTCCCGGCCACCTCGGGGGCCCCCCCGGACCCGGGATGAACCGGGAGAACTCTGGCAGCTACTTGCAGTGACTTGTACCTGATTTAACCCTTGGGGGCGTCGTGCGCTTGGATTGTTCGAAGATAGGGCTCCTAGGGGCGGGGGTGGCGAGGGCTACGTAACAATACTTGAAAACGAATCACATGCATACATGTTCTTTCTTTTCCGGTGGGGGAAGCCTAGTGGAAATGGTGCTACAATTGCTGTGCAGAGAGAAATTCCGAAGGCGAGAAGAATGTCAAAGCTTGGTGGTGGGTGGGCTGCCCGTCTCCCTGACCCCTCCACCTCATAGGTGGCTGGTGGAGCTGGGAGATGCGTAAACCCCAGCTAGGGAACCCGGAGGGAGGTGGAAGAGTTTTGCAAGTGGGCAGAGGTGAACTTGAATGTGCACTTTGAAATGACTTGACCTTGCCACCTGGGGTTCAAGGTCATGACTTAACTGTGCTTGGAAGTCTGTTTTGGGGGAGTGGTCCCTGAAAGCGCGAATTGGTGGCTCTCCTGGCTCCAAGAAAGAGCTGTGTGTGCTTTGCTATCTCTTGGGAGTCTCCAGAGGACACACACAGACTGGCCTGTGGGGAGAGTTGTTTGTTTTTCCGGAAAGTCTCCTCCTGGGAGGCCACTCTTGGCCCAGCCGTGAGCTTTCTCAGAACTCAGAACATCGGCATAAACACCCGACTCTCTCCTGGCCTGGGACTGGCCTACGCTTTCCACCCTCTCCTGGTATCCATCGGGATGGATGGAGGAGATAGGTTCTTACTCTGTGCTGGCCTTACGGGAGCCTGGGGCCAGCCCGCAAGAGGCCTCATCCCCTCTGACCTCTTACCACCGATTGCGATTGCGAGTGACTGAAATCCTTTTTTTTTTCCAAGTGACTCTCCCGGAGGAGAAACGGCAGCAGGCTTTTACAAACCTCTTGAAACTTGACTGCGCTGTTTAGAAAGGTGCCACTCCCCTCCCTGCCCGTCCCCCGAACTTGAAGGTAGCTAAACCAATTTTTTTTTTACAAAAAAAAACAAAAACAAACAAAAAAAAACATTCAATGGCTTGTTCATCCTCCAGATGTAGCTATTGACGTACACTTCGCAGCGGAGTGTGTTAAATTGTGGTGGTCCTGATTTATAGGATTTCTTAATTAAGTTGCTGAATAAATTTGGTTTTTGTTTTGAAGCATGGTTTGGCTTTTTGGTGGAAGGTGGGGGAAGGGGAAACTCAAAGGAGCAGCTGGAGCCAAGAAGAACACACTTGGGCGCCCCCCCACCCCCACGCACGGCGTGGGGCTGGCCACATTTTGCACAGAACGCCCGTGGAGCAGCCCTGTTTGATGGCTCCTGGACTAACGTTCCACAAGATCAAAAATTAAGGCCAGGTTTTTAAAGCGGTTCGATGGGCTTCCGCCCCTTTTGTGGGATAACATGTTCCAGAAATGCCATTTTAGGCTGTGGGGCAGAGAGGCCAGACAACCAGCTCTCTGTGGGCCTGGGGGCTCAGGGTGGGGGTTGGCTGGGTCGGGAGTGTCTATGAAAGGGCGGATGGGCGCAGGTAAAGGCAGCCCCTTTGTGCTTTCGAGACCGCTGCAGTCTTGAGCTGTGGTTGGGGGAAAGGGAAGGGACAGAGCCGTGCATTGAGGGGCCCGTAAAAATGTGGTCTGTGAGCAGGTAGAGGCGAGGCGGGGAAGGGTCCAGCCTCCCCCCCACCACCCGGTGTCCCTTTAAACCCCTTGACCCCCGCTGATTTGCTTTCCTTCCCCGGATTGAGGCAGTCTTGCTCAGCACATCACCCCTTCCTCTCCTGCAGCCCTCCACCCTCGCAGGCTGGGGTGGCAGGGGAAGGCCCTCCCCCCTCCCTGTGACTCAGTTTGACTCAGCCCTGCTGCCCACCAGCTGCGTCACATCGGCAAGTCGTGGCGCTGCGCTGCCTTTCTCTTTCTAAAGCAGTGATCCCTGCCAGGGGAAGTGGGGAGGGTAAACTGAGGACCTGCGGTGTCTGGGACACAGGTGCACCCCAAAAATAAGCTCCCCCAAATCATTCAAGGCACCACCCCTGTCCTTCCTTCCAGGGGTCTCTTTCCCAAGCGAGCGGGCCCCACCTGCCCTGACACTTGAGCCAGCCTTTGTCTTGCATTCGCACTGGAGGCTGTGTACTCTGAGGGTCTCGCTGAGCTTCCAGTGGCCGGCCCACCCAACCTCTGCCTCCCTCACTGCCAGGCAACCCTGACAAAGCACATGCCCACTGCGTCCAGCCTCTCATCTTGGTTCCGTGTTGTGAGGTGGTGCTCTTTTGCCCATGTTATACACAAAAGGCCAGACCGTTACTTGCCTGAAGTGCTGGACTTGAACCCAGATAATCTAACAAGGATCTCTGCATCCCTCAGCTGGATCTTCCGGTCATAACCTATCACCTATGTGAGACTTGTTTTATTTGGGGTCCATGGTGGGGGGAATCTCCCCTGGAGGTGGTCAGAGGACCATATGGTGCCAGGGATTGAACCCGGGGCACCCACAGACAAAGCCCATCTCTCCCAGCGCCTGCATTGATGCCATCTTCTCTTGCCTTAGGTGAATGTTCTTCACAGCATCCCACATACCTTTACCCATGAGATATTTTTGTTTGTTTTGGGGCCATACCTGGTGGTGCGTAGGGGGTCACTCTTGGCTCTGCACTCAGGAATCACTCCTGGAGGGGCTCTGGGGACCAAATGTGATGCAGGGAATTGAACCCAAGTCAGCCGCGTGCAAGGCCAGTGCCCTTGGTGCTTTTGCTCCTGCCCCAACCCACTAGATACTTGAATACAGTAGCATCACCTTCCTCAGACTTTTCCCGTTTGCCAGCCCTATGTGGTCCCTGAGGTGCTGGGGATCCAGGGTGGGACTGTGTTTCAGACATCCCAGAAGAGACCCTGAAGCAGCCAGGCCAAGACCTTCCCAGGGGAGCAGGGTTGGCCTGAGAGAGGCGTAGATGATGCTGTCCATGACTGTGCACTCAGAACCTCGAGGCCCCTGGAGAAATAGGACAGTGGGCCGAGAAGCTGAGGTCTCACCCTGTGGCAGTGTCCTGTGGTCTGCAACACAGCCAGAACAGCTCCAAGGAGTGACGCTCTAGTGTGGTGATGCAAACAGGGAGAGAGCGGCAGCAGGGGTCTCCGCTCCGCTGCTGGGCCAGAGACACGAAAAGTGGCACACCAGAGACCTACGCAAGAAGCAAGCTGGAGAGAGAGAGACGCAGCGGAACCGTCCCAGGTAGGCGACTCCTGCCAGAGAAAGCATTTTCACTCTATAATGGGTGAGATGTGGGAATTAGAGTTGGGGGGGCCGGATCTCAACTTGGGGCTCTTTTTTTCTTTGTAATTTGGTCACACCCAAGCGGTGCTCGGGGATCACTCCTGGTGGTGCTCAGGGGACCATCTGGAATTCTAGGGACCGAACGCAGGTCAGCCGCTTGCAGGGCAAACGCCCTACCCGCTGTACTATTGCTCTAGCCCTTCAACTTGGGGCTCTTAAGTTGATTGTCTTATTTCCTGTCAGAGCCAGCCTTTTCCTCCTAATTCCCCCTCCCTGCTGCTGATCCAGCCATTTGCAAAGACTCTAGTCTGAGACGCTTGTCTGGTCCTGCAGAAGCATATCTGTATTGGGGGACAGTGACCGTTTCCAAGGGTTGGACCCTGGGCTAGCAGGTTCCTAGTACTTGGCTCAGGGCTGACTGTGGCTTGACTCTCCCTAGACACCGAGGAGTAACTGAACAAGAGTTGAAACAATTCTTAGAAAGGAAACAAAGCCTCATCTTGAGCCTCGACCTGGCTGGAGCAATAGGCCCAGGGCAGTAAGGGGAAGCCGGCTGGGTGTTGGGGATGGGGGTGAGGGGACCAGGGTTTGATTAGGAGTCTCGTGAGACACTGCAGGACAGCAGCCTGGTGCCTCATAAATGACTAGGAGTTGGAGATGGGGCTGGAGATAAAGATTGGCAGTTAGAGCGAGGAGGGGCGGAGGGAGCCGGGAGAGGCTGTCAGTTGGGGAGTAATAATAACACTAGCTAATGTATGGGTGCTTACCTTGTGCCAGGCTCTGTTCTAAGCATTTTACAAAGACCAGCTCATCAAATCTATGTGGGAGGAGGAAGAGGAAGCCGAGGAGCAGACAGAGAGGAGAAGCGGGAGAATTCAAGGGCAGCTCAAGGGTGAACTTGAGGCATGCTGCGGTGTTTGTGCATATGACTGTGTATGGGTTCACATACACACACACATGCACATACACACATGTCCTCTCTGTCACTGCTATGTCCAACCTCTGTGGACAGGATAGGCTCCACAAGTCTGGCCTCTATGGCTGTTTAGTGACTTTTATCATCTTTTTTGTTTTGTTTGCTTTGGGGGGGGATTTGGACCACATCAGACAGTGCTCAGGGATTGCTCCTGGCTCTGTGCTCAGGGATCACTCTTGGCAGTGTGCAGGGGACCACATTTGGGGCTGGGGATCAAACCGGGTTTAGCAGCTTGCAAAGCAAGTGCCCTATCCACTATACTCTCTCTCCAGCAACTCCCCCCCCGCACTTTTTTTGCTGTTGTGTGGTGGGGGCACACCTGGTGGTGGCAGGACAGGGCATGGTAAAGCTACTCCTGGCTCTGTGCTCGGAGATTGCTCCTGGTGGTGCTCAGAGGACTACGTGGTATGGGGAATCGAACACGGGTCTCCCACATGCAAAGCATGTGCTAAGCACCCTTTGAGTGATCTTCTCAACTCTTATTTATAAATTTATATATTTGTTTCGGTCTGGAGGCCACATCTGGCAGTGCTCAGGGCTTACTCCTGACTCCGTGCTCAGGCATCACTCCTTCCTGGTAGCACTTGAGATGCTGGGGATCGAACTTGAACAAAGCAAGCACCTTACCTGCTGAACTATCCCTCTGGCCTCCTCTTTTCCTTTTTTTTTTACCCTAAAGTTATTCACCTCCCTTATATGCATCGCCATTGAGTGTGTTTGACCATCTGCACTGTGCGTTTGTCTTCTCACTCAGCTGAAGAGAAGGACGGTTGGAGTCCAAGAAATGGTACAAGAGTTCAGGCATTTACTTTGCATACAGCCAACTCCTCCGCCCCTCTCGGAGAGCCTGGCAAGCTACCGAGAGTATTGGATATGCCAGACACAGTAACAACAAAGTCTCCAATGGAGACGTTACTGGGCCCGCTCGAGCAAATCGACGATCAACGGGAGGGCCTTTACCTTTTACCTTTACAGCCAACTCCAGTTGGCTGGGGGAAGGCTGGAGGCAAAATACTAAGTACTGTTTATGGTATTTCTGGAGAAAGGTGACTGTGACTCTGGAGATTTTATTTATTTATTTATTTTTAATTTAATTTTTAATTTTTTGCTTTTTGGGTCACACCTGGCAGTGCACAGGGGTTACTCCTGGCTCAGGCACTCAGGAATTACTCCTGGTGGTGCTCGGGGGACCAAATGGGATGCTGGGAATCGAACCTGGGTCGGCTGTGTGCAAGGCAAATGCCCTTCCCGATGTGCTATTGCTCCAGCTCTGATGGAGATTATTTTATTTTGTCTTTTTTTTTTAAGCGACGCAGATAGTTTTTATTGAAAAAAATTACTTAGAAAGATAGGAGGGGAAAGAGAGGAATACATGTTCAAGAGAGAAATCGGGCTTCTCCAGAGTGGGAGAGATACAAGTTCAAGAGAACAGGGCCTTGAGAGAAAAGCTCCCTGGAGAAGATTTTCGGGAAAATGTAGGAAATCATGTTTTCCCCATAGTAACCTGGAGAATCAAATTTAAACAGTCAAATAGAAAAGGATAAAGGGGAGGGCAAAGGTAATGATGAGAAGTAGCTTGTGATTTTTTTTTTTTTAAACTAACCCAAATCAATAAGTCAAACAAACTGCCAGAGCAGGGCCTATCACCGGGGGCTGTGAACTTTATCTCCTGCCAGTAGTTCACTGATAGAGGAAGCAGTTCACAAACTCCTTGGTATCAAATTTAGTTTTGGTTCTACGGGAGCAGAAAGTACAGGCAGAAGGAATCCCTAACAAAAAAAAAAAAAAAAAACAGCGAAACTGGCAGAGCAACAGCTGGAGCGCGTGCTCTGTGGGCTGAGGGCCCAGTCTCAGTCCCCAGCCCCGAATCGTACCCTGAGCACTGCTGGGAACGCTTAGCCAGGAAGAGCCCC